AGATAATACTTGTAAAGTGCTTGCTTGGCATAAGTAGCCTATAAATAGCACTTACTATAGTACAGTTGTTACTAAAGTATAAGAAAACTAAGTAGAGGAAAATTTCAGTTTAGGACATTGAGCAACCGTTAATTGGTAGAAGTAACAATGATGATGCTGGTACCTAAGGATTATTAGCTCAGTGCTGAGTGCTGTTTTGAAAGTCCTCTAGTGCATGTTGGGGTGTGGTTATAGCTCATTCACACTGGATATATCAAGACCAAGCAGTAGAAAACATTTAAAATGGAAGTGTTGGAATCCATTTGTAGCATGCATCAAAAATAAAGATACATTTGAAGTGATATTGGAAATTGCTGGGGGAAAGCATCTTACAGAAGTTATGTTTATGCACATTTTTGGCTTTGGCATAGTGAGCTGTGCTTCTCTGCCAAGACTAAGGAGCAGGATTTCTGCCTGTGAAAGAGTGGGAGCCGGGAAATTGGGTTCTGGTTTTTGCCCCATCACTGGCTTCTCTGTGTGCTTGGGCAGATCGCTGGCTTTCACTGAGCAGGATTCTGATTCCTGAAAAAGAGCTAACTGTTAGCCCTCCTGGTGAGGAGTAGAGTAGTTGATATCTTTGAAAGCAGGTGGAGTGTTAAATCACAAAGTAAATGCAAATGTATGTTTCTTCAGTATGGAAAAAACTGTTAGCTGCCATTTTACAGCTAGGATTTTATTCTGTGGGCCTCTTGAGTTCTATAATCCCCAGATAAATACTTTTTTGAAATACCCAGCCTCAGGGGCTTTTACACCCCAATATGTAGGTAAAATTCCTTGTTACTCCAGTCTGACTTCTTTCCCTTTGATCCCAGAGGAACCTGCTATGATTTCCTTCCAACACCTAATATTAAATGTACTTTCTCTCTCTTTGTCTTCATTTACCTGAAATATTCTCCTCTTGTCAATAACATTTAGCTTTGAGATACTGTGATCTTACAGCTTTGGAGTTGCTGTTATTGTTTTCTTCTTTTTCAATCCTACTGCTTCCTGGACTGGTTTCCTGTCCAGGAAGGACGTAATTTTTCTTTGTGTTGCTTGGTTCTAGCACTTTCTCTCTACTTCCCCCCGAATTGCTGCCCTTCCTGCCTCTAGATTACCACACTGTCAAAGGGCTTCTTCCTGAAGCTTCATTCAAATAGTTAAATGTACTGGCTCATAAGCCTGAGGTTTCTTCAGCAAATCAAATCCAAACTTGTAATACTTTATGTTTAAGACCCTCTGCCACGTGACTCCTGCTCTCCCTCCCCCTCCACTATCTACATTTGTACTTCTTCACAGTCCTGACCAGTATTTCCACTAAGGCGGCAGACTTCTCAGACCCATCCCTTTCCCATCACACATCCTGGCATCTCTTCTTAGCTCTCACAGATCAATGGTACAGCCTCGGTTACGTAGATTAATCAGGTAGGCATTTACTTAAACACAGGCTATACTCCTATCTGTTGGCTTTTCCTGTAGAAGTAATTTACAAATGGTGATTAGTTTCTGGGCTGTCTCGCAGATACCCACTAAGCTGATAATGCTGTTGCAGGACGGGATCTGTGCATGAACAACAGAAAAGAAGCATTACTTACACATTTGAGTAAGGACCTCTTTGATTTTTATCATGATAGCCTATCCCTAAAGAAGAGCGTGCTTGTTTAGAGAATGAGAAATAGAAACTTGAGAGTTTTCTGAGTGTTTAGGAACCTGTATGGATTTGGACACTTAAAAGTTCTAGTTATATTCCCCAGTGTCCAACTTGCCTTTTCTTTGATACTGTTGGGTCATTGAATCCTTTAAACATATCTACTCTGATTTGCTTTCTGAAGGCACAGCTGAAATGAATACAGAAGAAGGCACTGGGGAGAGGAATTTTCTTGAGATAGGTGGGCAAGAGCTGAAAAGAGAGGCGTAGGGAAGAAAGATCTGTTAAGGATGACATGTGAGTGTCTGTGTGGTGGTGTTTTGAGGTGGCATTCCTGGGATTGTGAGTGATGAAACAAGACAAGTGGGAATATGCATATCATTCCCTTGCGGATAAGCAAAGACGTGGTGAAGAAGAGATGCTGGGCAGAAGGCTGTCCAGGTGACCCCCAAGGGGGGGCCAACAGTTTGTTTGCTGTCGGAGTGGCCTGGGGTTGGGTTGGGTGTGGACAACACGTGAGACCTGAGTCAGAGCTCTGGGGATGCCCTTCTGCTGAGGGAAGCCTGGCAGCAGGTGGGATGACCACGCCACACGGAGGGTCTGTGAAATTTCATCAGATCAGGAAGAAAACCAGAGCTCTGGTGAGGTAGGCTTCTGATGAATTAAATTCACTAACTGGACCTGTTGGACAGATCATAGCTAATATTTTGGGGGCACTTACTTGGTGCCAGGCCTTAGATAAGCATTTTACATTAAATTTTAATTCAATAACCCTGTGAGGAAACCTATCTAAGAGGTTTGACCCACTCAAGTTCCTCTACCAGTAAATGGCAGAGCTCCCCCCACCCCCCGCACCCTGACTCTCCCCCGCCTCCCCCATCTGCTTGATGCAGGCTTTCCTAGCATGCTGTCAGGTGGAGGCTATTTGGTCCAGTCCCCACATTTTTAATGTGAAGATTCAGCTCTGCTGCTTTGTTGCTCGTTACTATGTATCTTTGTGTAGGTGTCTGCAAAACGTGCACAATATAGCTAAGAGCACCAGAAAGGGAAACGTTTTAACACTGAATTTTTTGGTTCCCCACAGTTAATTAATGCAGAGGAATTGTCCTAGAAGAGAATGTCCCTGGAAAGCTTCTAAACAGCAGGGCTTCTATAACTTTCATCTCTAAGATTATGTTCACATTTTAGTAGCATTTTTAGGGGTTCAGACTTTGCTAATCACATATTCTAAATGGAGGTGAGGAGGCCATCCAATATAATACCAACATCCTTTGAAAAGAGACCCATAAAACCCAGAGGTTAAAGGTAACTTCCCACTAATGGGAAGACTACGCTATTCCCACAAAATTCCACAAAGAAATTCTCAGGTATTCTAGGAGATGCCAGGCATTTAAAAATAAAGTGTGAGTAAAAATGTTTAAAGCTAGAAATGGTTCTGAAAAATAGCAGGGGGACCTGAGAAGGTGTTGTTGAGGGCTTGAGAGTGTTTGGGATTGAAAACATAAGTGCCTTCTGGATCCCTTAGGTTGCAGGAGACCAAACTGCCTGAGCAACTTTTAGGTCATTACCAGTAGGTACTCTGGGTGGAGGACCGCTGACTTCTGACCTCCTATTTTATGAAAGCCAAAGTTTGCATATTTTTCTGCTCTATCTCTCTGAGCTTGAAGAGACGAGTTTGTGTGTAGTGGATTATGAGCCAGGCTGTAGGGACAAGTAACTTTGTAAACTGGCATTAATGGAGCTGGCTCTGGCTGAGGGGAGGCATGGAGTCTCGGTGGTCCCAAGACCTGGATTTGAGCTCTGGCTCAGTTATTTCTGACCGTGTGGCCTTGTTCTTCACATTTGTCATCTGTAAAATGCCTCTCTCTCTTGCTCCACCTTCTTCACTAGGTGTTGTGAAAATAAAATGAGATGTGTGAATTCTGATTCTTGGCATTACGGTCCCATATGAGAAGTGCTTGCTTGGGGCTTAAAATTTGCTCCTATTTTAATTTGGCATCCACAGTGAGACATATTTGAGAGGCTTAAGTAAAGCATTGAGAGCATTTAACTAACTCTTTGTTACTGGGGAGCTGATTATTTAATTTGCAGAATTTTAGGACTTCCTATCACCTGCTCTAATACTTAGAATATAGACACAGCTGCCGTAAGAGAGAGATCGAGAATAGCAGAGGCTTAAACAACCTGGAAGTGCATTTCTCTTTCATGTAATAGTCCAGATATAAATGGTCTGGGGCAGTTTTGGGGGTGGGGTGGTACATGGAGTCAGGGACAGAGGCTCCTCGATCTTGTTTTCCCACATGGCTCTCACCGTTTGGCCCGAGGTGGCTGTCCCAGTTCTGGCCACCAGGAAGGGCATGGCCACAGCTTTACAGCCTGAGCTATTCAAATGCCCACACTTGGCTACACTATATAGTTGAGCTTAGCATTCATGCCTTCAGTTAAAAATTCCATTACTGTGTAAGAAGGTAGACTAAATATTGTGGGACCTGCCACAGCTGCTGGGGGTCAGGTTATCACTTCCCTTTAAGAAGTTTACATAAGGGGCACCTGGGTGGCTCAGTTGGTTAAACGACTGCCTTTGGCTCAGGTCATGATCCCGGAGTCCCGGGATCGAGTCCCACATTGGGCTCCCTGCTCAGCGGGGAGTTTGCTTTTCCCTCTGACCCTCCCCCCTCTCATGCTCTCTCTCTCTCTCTCTCTCAAATAAATAAATAAATAAAAATTCTTAAAAAAAAAGTTTACATAAGATGGAAGACGGCGGTTTTCATTCACCTACTCATGTAAACAACTATGGGATGACATTTGAAGGGGAGAACGAGGCGGTTAAGGCTGTTGGCTTAGAACAGGTTTGGAGATGATCTGTACTTTTCTTCTATTCAGGATTTAAAGCCATTTATTATTCATGGAGCACTAGTCCCCCCTCGCTACATTCTACACCCCGTGTTGGGTACTGGGGACTCAGAGATCATGGTCCCTGCTCTCCAAAGGCCCACCCCACAAAGGGAGGCAGGCGTGTCCGGCATTGAGCACGTGACTGTCTGGTGTGCAGTCTGATGGGAGGCAGATGGGGGGCTGTGGGAGCTCATGGGGGAGACCTGCCCATCCCAAGGAAGGTAGGGCGTGGGTGTGTACGTGTGCGTATTTGTGTGTGTGTGTGTATTTTGGATGCAGGATGCATAAGGTCACTGGCAGAAGGAAGTATAACTGGTGTTATATCTGTATCGCCTGAAATAGTGACGGGTCCCTGAGAGAGCAAGTGAACTGATAGGATGCTCTGTTTCCTAGTGTCATGTCTATGGCTTAATGTCTTTATTTCTGTTTCTCTTCCTAGAAACTCTCAGTGTGTCTGCCTGGACGATTTGTCACAAGGAACAATGCTGCCCCGCTGGGAACTGTCTTTTTACCTGTTTGCTTCACTAGGCTTCCACTTATATTCTTTCTATGAAGTTTACAAAGCTTCTAGAGGTAAGGCCCCAACTTTCCTGACCTTCTATCAAGAAAGGAAGGAGGAAGGAAGTACTCAGAGGTAGAAGATTCAGGAAGATTGTCTAATGGGCTGGGGATGACTTGGCCCCTGCTTTGCTCTCCCCTCTCTGGGACACTTTGAGTCCATGATCTGAGTCAGTGCTATTTTCCACCCCAATCCTTGATCTTGGAGTGGATCCTGTAAGAGGAGGGTTTGATTCAATGGCTATTGAAGGCTGTGGAGGTGGTATGCAGTAACCTCTTCCATCTTTCTTCCATCATCATTGCTCTCAGACATGTGGAGGCAGCTCACGGTATTAGAGGCCTAGACTCCTTTGTCCTTTTGTTCTGCTGTGTTTAGTGCTTTGTATGCTTGTTGAAGAAGAATCATCACCAAATCCACATTCCAGCCTGTAGGAAGGGGGGTGAGAATCCTCCTGTCCTTGAAGGGGAGCTCAGCAAGTTACCCTGATCACTTCTGCTCACCCCCACTTGGCCAGTGCCAGGTCTTATGGACACACCTGGGAGGCTGAGAAACATCATCTTTAGCTTGGTGGCCATGCACCACTCAGACTTCCCATGTTATGGAAGAATGGGAGAAAGAAATGAGGAGGGACCATGATGGTCTCTTCTGTAATCAGGGACAGTTTCCTAGAGGAGATGATGATTACTTACGACGATTTTGTTGTGAGACAGAACAGGAGCCTGCAGAGTAGGGAAGATGTCAGAGGATCTGTGGAAAGAGAGGAGTTTGTAGGCAAAGGGACAAAACTTTGGGGTGTGAGGAAGCATAGCATGGTCTGGCAACTACAAACCACTCGGTGGGACTGGAGTATAGAATGTGAGGGGACAGTGGTAGGAGGTGAGCTTAGATCAGAAAGCAGGGAAAGGCTGTGAAAGACATTTCATATTTATGTGTGGAGTTTGGCAGGAGAGTATGCTGAAAAGTCACTTAAGATGGTAAAAGGGGGATTTGGAGAAGCACAGGTGAGAGTGCTCTGCTCTGAACACCTACCTCCTTATGGATCACTGGGACTGATTTTGATATGTATCCCCAGGATTGATTTTTCTCCCATTCTACATATGTCCCACTCAAGGCCATGGGCTTGGGTGCAGAGACAGACGATCTACAGTAGATGAGGACTGTTCTTTTGTCCAGGCTGGCCAAGTAGTTGTATTCCCCTGCTGGAGCCTCTGAGCTCCCATGTGGGGGAGCCAACCCTGCTCTATGTCAGGCACCATATTAGATACTCCATGTACCTTGTCTTGTGCGAACTTTACAACAGCCCTAAGAGATGGTATATTACTTCGAAGATAGGCTTGGCAGCAGAAACACAGCCTCCAATATAACTGTTCCAAGGCTCATGTGGTGTCCAGAGAGCATCAAAGAGCCTGGCTCCTTCTATCATGTCCCTCTGCCATCTTCGTCATGTGGCTTCACCTCATGATGTAAGGTGGCTGCTTCAGCTCCAGCTGTCATGTTCACTTTTCTCCCAGAAGGAAGGATGGAAGGGAAGGGAAGGGAAGGGGAGGACAAACCCTCCTCTTTTCTGAGTATGACTTGAAAGTTGCTTACATCGTACCTATTGACATACCATTTGCTAGAACTCAGTCCTGTAGCCACATCAACTGTGAGGGGAGCAAGTAAATGTAATCTTTGGTTGGAAGTCCCATTTATCCAGCTAAATTCAAGGGTTCTATTATAGAGGAGGAAAGAATGGGTATTAGCAGGTAATCAGCTGCTAATATTAGCAGCTAGTCTTTTCCATAAATGGAGGGGGAAAGAATGGGTATTAGCAGCCAATCAGTAGTCTTTTCCATAAATGGATGTCAGTGTTCCAGATTTTCGCCATTCTAGTAGGGGTGTATTGGTATCTCATTGTTTTAATTTGCATTTCCCAGATGACATGTGATGTGGAGCATCTCCATATGCTCATTGCCGTATATATCTAATCTTCTTTGGTGAGGTGTTTGTTCAGGTCTTTTGCCCACTTTTTAACTGGATAGTTTATTTTCTTATTCTTGAGTTTTAATAGTTCTTTGTATATTTTGGATAATGATTTTTGCAAATATTTTCTTCCAGCTTGTGGCTTGTCACCTTATTCTCTTGACAGTGTCTTTTACAGAGCAGATATTTTAAATTTTGGTTAAGTCCAGTTTACCAATTGTTTCTTTCATACATTGTGTCTTGGGTATCTAAAAAGTACTTCCTAGAGCCAAGGGCATCTAGATTTTCTCTTATGTTATCTTCTAAGAGTTAATTAGTGTTGCATTTTATATTTAGATCTATAATATCCATTTTCAGTTAATTTTTATCAAGTGTGTAAAGTCTGCATCTAGATTTACTTTTTTGAATGTGGATGTCCAGGTCCAACATTTGTTGAAAGACCATCTTTCCTGTGTTGTATTACCTTTGCTCCTTTGTCAAAGGTCAGTTTACTGTATTTATGTGGGTCTTTTACTGGGCTTTCTATTCCTCTATTTGTCTATTCTTTCACCAATGCCACAGTCTCATGGATACTGAGGTGTTATAGTAAGTCTTAAAATTGGGTGACTCTGACTTGTTCTTCTCCTTCAATATTGTGTTGGCTATTCTGGATCTTTTGCCTCTCCATATAAACTTCAGAATCTTGTCATCAGTATCCAAAAGGGACTTGCTGGGATTTTGATTTGGATTGCATTGAATCTATACATGAAGTTGAGTAGAACTGACATCTTAACAATATTGAGTCATCTTCCTGTCCATGAACGTGGAATATCTCAATTTTTTTTTTTTATTCATCAGAGTTTTCTAGTTCTCCTAACATATAACTTGGATGTATTTAGTTAGATTTATACCTAAGTATTTTATTTTTGGGGGGTGCTAATGTAAATGGTATTGTGTTCTTAATTGTAAATTTCACTTGTTCATTGCTGATCTATAGGAAAGTAACTGACTTTTGCATATAAATCCTGTATCCTGTAACCTTGCTATAATCACTTACTGGTTCCAGGAGTTTTTTTGTAGATTCTTTGGATTTTCTACAGAGGTATTTGTATTATCTGCGTACAAAGACAGTTTTATTTCTTCCTTTCCATTCGGTATACCTTTTTTTTTTTTTAATTAAGATTTTACTTATTTATTTGACAGGGAGATAGAGCCAGAGAGCACAAGCAGGGGGAATGGCAGAGGGAGAGGGAGAAGTAGGCTCCCTGCAAAGCAGGGAGCCCTATGCGGGGCTTGATCCTGGCCCCTGGGATCATGACCTGAGCTGAAGGCAGACGCTTAACTGACTGAGCCATCCGGGTGCCCTCCATTTTGTATACCTTTTATTTCATTTTCTTATTGCACTATCTAGGACTCCCATTATGATATTGAAAAGGAGTGGTGAGAGGGGACACTTTTGCCTTTTATCCTGATCTTAGCAGGAAAGCTTTCTGACCATTAAGTATGATGTTCACTGTAGGTTTTTTGTAAGTGTTCTTAATCCAGTTGAGGAAGTTCCCTTCTATTTCTAGTTTGCTGAGAGTTTTTATTTGAAAATGGGTGTTGGATTTTGTCAAATGCTTTTTGTGCCTGTATTGATAAGACCATTGGTTTTTCTTTTTTGGCTTGTTGATGTTATGGATTACACGAACTCATTTTTGTGAGTCTTTGTCCATGAGTTTGTTTTTAACAAACCTCTACTGGACTCAGCAGGGCAGGTCTTCCGCTGTGTGTGTTGTTAGCTGGGGCTGCAATCATCTGGTGGCTCACTCATGTGGCTAGCCAAGACCTCAGTGGGGGGCTGTCAGCTAGCATGCAGAGGTTCTCTCTGCATGGCTCTCCACATGGCTTATATTTCTTATAACAGGACAGCTGGGTTCAAGAGGGAGTATTGCAAGTACACAAAAGCAGAAGCTACAGATCTCTTGAAGCTCAGCCTGGGAAGTTGTACAGTTCACTTCCGCCTCATTTATTGGTGAAAGCAAATCACAGCTCTAGTCCAGATTCAAGGGGAGTAAAGACTACACCTCTTTATGGCTGGAGCAGCATGTATGTGCATGGAATTTATGGCCGTCATCTTAGGAGTCTATTACAATGGGTGTTGTACGTTTTTTACCCAGATGAGGATACAGAGGCTGAAAAATATAACTTGTCTAAGGTCACACATAATGGAACTGGGTTTAAAACAGAGGTGTCCAACTTGAGACCCAGTATTTGTTCTCTTCTGCCACTCATATTTATTGATAATTCCTAAAGCACCTCGCTTTAAAAGGGGAGGCCCTTTTGTCTATTCTACTATAAAATTTTAAAATTTTATCAAAAATTGGAATAAAATGTTTCCTTTCTGTGTCCTGCTGGCTGCTGGGATGGGGGTGGGAGGGGAACCTTCTGTGGATAGTATGAAGCTTTTCTGCACCTCAGCTGATTCAGAGGCTGTCATGCTGTTTGACTTATTAGTGACCACTCCCTAGCCTGAAGCTTCTTTTATCCTGTTTTTCCTTTAAATGTCAGTGCCAAAGTGTTTCTCAGGTTACTCCCAAGAAATGTCTTCTTTCTCTAACACTTTTGCCAGTTCAGCTCATGGAAGCCGGATCCCCTTGTCTTGCCAAAGTATGTTTAATGGTGCAATGTTAAGTCTTCTTGGCTCCATGTTTTACTGTCTAGTTTGGGAAAAAGTGCTACTTAGCTGCATGATAGAAGTAGGTCACTGGGAAAACTGTCTCTTCTGTAAACTTTTTTGGGATGTTTGTATCTGGAGCAAATAGAGTGCCTAGAACATAATACAGGCTCAAAACTTACCCACTAAGTGAAATGCCACCAGTGGGCATCTGCATGGCTGCTTTCTCTGGGTGTGGACCAGGCGTCCTGTTCACTGCACTCTGTCTGGGGAAGCAGGGTTGTCAGGCCATTAGGGACAGCAGGCTGATTCTAATGGCCTTCATCAAATGGAATCTTCTGGTAAATTCACAACAGGGACTGAACAGAACACCCCTTCTTCCTCCCGACTCTACCAGGCGCAGAGCATCTCTAAGTC